TCTCTTCACGTCATTCCCACCAACAACGTGAATAATACTCTTGCATCTCAGTGATCCACCTTCAGTAACTATGTACTCACTGTTCTGCTGAGCTGTGAAACAGGAGCAGATTCAGAGTCAGACGCTGACCTGTGCTTGGAGAAAGCAAGATGTCTGATTTCATGAGAAAACGTTTTATGAATTAAAAGTTCACGAAATACTACATATCGTGAAATTTGGGGATAAATTTCTCTTAACTGTGAGATATCTTTCTACTTTTAACTTTCATATGGAATTCTTTCATAAAATATATGATCTTAAGATGAATACATGGGTCTCAAAACAAAAGAAAACAAAAAACAAAAAAGATTTATACATTGTCCTCCCAGCCCCAGGCCCTTCCTTGGTTTCCTCACTGCCTCTCACAGTCAATCTTTCCCTTCCAATCCAGCTCCAAGAAGCAGCATCATTCCTTACCCAAGACAGAACATTCGTTCTCCACACTTGGTCCTGCACCTTCCAAAATTGCTTTGGAGACTCCTACATGAGAAAATCAAGACCGTGACCTGACCAGAAAGATGCCTTTGTGTCTCAACACATCCCATCATAGAGCAGTAAGGACAGAGAGGAAAATTTCAAAAATGTTGCCAGTTGTAAAAAAGCCGATTGAATTAGGTTTATAGATATTAGTTAACAGGAACAAGCCAAAGTCAACAAACCATTTTGTCTGTAGAAACACTTCTTCATAGGATCTACCACACTGATTACTGCAGGAGACAGAATCCATCTCACTAAGTACCTGATTTGAGATCAAATGTGTTTGATGTTGAATTGACAATCACATCTGCCGCTTCTTTGGTGATGTCCCCCGTGGCCACTTGGAAGAGGATCGGGCCAATATTCATTTCATGCACTCCTAAGGTAGGGCTGGAGAGACTCCCATAAAAACCTGCCCAGAGGAAAGAAAAGACAGAATTAGGCACCAAGTCATCAGAAGCAAGAACAGCTGAGGTCACAGGCTGCTCTATCACTATATTGTCTGTCTTTTACTGTTGCCGTGGATCTGAGCTGGAACAGAAGTATATTTTGAATTTGGGAGTTTGCGGCCATCCTGGGCAACATGGCAAAACCTCACTTCAAAACAAAGTTCCAGTGAACCCCAAACAAGATGAACTCAGAAACAGAAAGCCACATGTGACAGCGAAGTGTTGGCTTGTATTGTCTCTTAAGGTGTCTCTTGGAAAAGCCATGTCACATGATCCATTGGAGTTGGTAGTCTCATCAGTAATTTAACAATCCCATTCTACAGCTTATATGACCTGGCCCACCTTTCCCTTTACCCAAGTCAGGCCAGTTTCTTTTATACTCACATGCATGGAATATCCTTTAATTTTCATTTAATATGTTTGACTTATCAGAGAAATGATCACCATCATCCTTTCCCTGTCATTGAACAGTTACTTGGTAACAAGAAATCACTGGTCAACTTAAACACTTTACTCTACCTTGGGTGTCACTTGGATTTCCATGACTCCTTTTGTCAAATTCATCTGAAAATGCCTGGAAACACAAACACAGTTTTAACCATTATACTCCCTATGCGATCAGTGAGTTTGCATCCTGGGAGCTTCTGATTCTGTATGCACACATGTAGTGATGTATATAGTAAAGCACACATGTAGTGATATGTATCGTAAAGCCGTGTGCCTGGCTTCGAGTGACATGTTTCAGCAAAGCCTTTGCTATGTTTGGGTTGATTGGTTGAGAAATTGTTTTGAGCCTGTTTTTTTTTTTTATTTTTTATTTTTTTATTTTCAAGGCAGGGTTTCTCCATGTTGCTTTGGAGCCTGTCCTGGTATAGGGCCCACAGGTCTACCCCTCCTCCCAGGGTTCATGTTGAGAATAGCTTGCAATTTCTGACAAAACATCTTTTTCTTTTTCCCGTGCTCCCTCTGCCCACCCTGGTGGTTAGCTATAGGAGAGATGTTTGCTCCTTCTTGAGCCTGGTAATTTCCCATCTGCTTGGGGGGTTTCCATTGTGCAGCAGTTAAGTATAAAAGGTTTTCTCTAAGCTTGAATAAAC